AGATTATAGTGATTTCTGTCTGTCTCAGGTTCAGACAGTAGAGCTGCCTAGGGACTTCAATTTACATATTTTTGGAAATAAACAATTGTTAAATTCATCAGGCACTATTTGTTTCTCAGTGTCTCCAGACTTAGAAAGAAAAGAATACTGAATACTGCTGCTTTTCCTGATGGTTTGCATCTACCCTCAGTTAGGAAAAGCCCTTTTAAAAATTTTTCTCAAAGAGAAGATTGCAATATTGCTAATTCTCACAAACTGGATGGCAGTATCAGCAGCAGAGTGTGCTTTACAAGGAATACAAATGAAAGCAGGTACCCAGATTTTTACAAGGAATTTTTTTTTCCCCACAATGTTCCTAGTTCATTCAACACACAGGACTGCCCTGCTCTACAAGCCTCATTTGGTGGAGAAATTTTTCACCCCTTAGAATACTTCACACAAAGTTCTCTGATTTTTTTTCCCCCTTCTGGATAATAACTTACAAACATGAGCCCCAGTTTAATTGTTAAATTCCATGTTTCCCTACAGAGGAAGCTATCACAACCAAATAAATTAATTCCAAAATTTGAAAAATACACTTTCATATGATCCATCAATAGGGCCAAAATTTCTGCTACTTTTCATAATATCACAACATAAATCTTTAAGATGAGCCAAAGGAGAAAATGAAGACTGTGCTAGATCACAACAAAAGTTGCTAATGACACAAGAATACCATAATATGCCATGTGAAACTCCTCTTTCTAGCTGTAAACATATGTCACAGTTCATCTGCTTTTCTGTCCCTACATACCTGCTCTCTCTGCCTTCACTTACATTTTCCTGATCCTGTGTTCAGCTATGTTTTTCTCCTCTCAGTGCCCATTTTTACTACCTTCCCTGCTGCTACTTAAAACATTGTACACACAAATGCAATTCTCTATCCTTAACCCATAACATCCGTACTGACAAATTTATAGTCAACCAAACAAAGGTATCTTAAACCCTGAGAAAAATTAAATTTCACTCAAAAAATACACAGGATGGATAAAATTAGCACCTAGGAAGCGTGCGTGCTCTTTCCTCTTCACAAGCCAAATTTTCCAGATATGGTTACTCAAGAACCGAGTACAATTGATTTTTCACAATTTCTGGATTGGAAACAACATAGATCTTTCAGCCCTGAAATCTGATGGGAAGCTGGATTTACAGAACCTGAATAATTTTTAAAAAGAGGAACAGATAAACAGGGAAGGGGTTTTGAGAATTTTATAGTGATTTTTCAGAACTGAATCCAGCCAGTTATTAATTCAAATATTATTAACAAAGCCTATGTAGAAGGTATTGATGATATAACTGCACTGATTGCCTCACATCTTCCTAATAAGAACCTACTGGAAATACAAACTGCCCAAATGATATGCAGAGAAAGCATGTATTCTTACTCTCAATGATCTTGCAAGTACTTAAGCAGACTGGTATAGCAGTGGGATGAAAAGCTGTGCAACATGTCAAAAGCAACGCTGAAGTGTGTACCATTTCTGCAGCTTACTAAACTGGATTATGACCTTAAATGAAAATCCAACAAGTGAATACATTTCCCGAAGTTCTTGAAGTTTGCAGCATTTATCTGGCTTCATTCTGGTGGCTCACCACATGCAGTCAAAATATGTGTATAAATTTTAAAAACCACTAAACTGTACCTGCTATTAAGCCTTTAAAATAAAACAAGAAATGGGTGTCAATAAGTACCTAGCAAAGGACTTTGAAACATGCAGTTTTCCTCAGGAAAGAAAACTTGCATGAAAGAATTGTATAGTGATGCCTTAAAAATGAAGACACCTTGCTTGGAAAACTGAGCAATGTGCGAGATGATGAATCACATTTGTGAAAAAAAACCCAACAAAAAAAATCAACAAATTCAAACCCAATTGTTTGGATGGGTCTAAAAACTTGACTACATCACATTCTGGACAGCACTCAACGTTTCTTCAGCTGTGAGAGAAAAAAAAATGTTTTCAAAACTGCCATCACCTCAAGTCTGAGTCTTAACAGAAGATTGTTCTGACTTGCGCATCAGCAATAGGTTACGTGCATCAATTTCTGACCTTTGCTTCAGCTTTGAAATATCACCAATTTCAAATTTACCCATCCTAACACACTGGGCCGAATGCCTCATGTCACAGAAGTGACAAAATTGGCCCACTGCGTTCAATACAACAGCAGAGCAGAGGAAAATGTAGGTCTGTAGCTACACGTGGGTTAATAATTTCATGTGTGCTATACACATCAGAACAGCACAGATCTGATTCTTTAGTCTCTCTTCTGACTTGGCAGTACACTTTGAGGTGAAAAGTAGTGAAAATTTAGTCTTCTTTCTCAAGCATCTATACCTCTGAAAAGAGTGAGTTTCTCTTTTGAGGTGACAGCTACTATTTCTACATCATTGCTTTTCAGAATAGAAACATAGTCAAGATTTGTATCTTCCAAATTAAAAACATTTTTAACATAATCTAGCATA